TACAAGTGAACCATTCAAAATCCTAACTCAAAATTCATCACTACAATCATCAAAATCACTTAGATTAGATATCACCAAACATGAATTCAAGTTACTACATAACTCAAACAAGAGTAAGGGAAAAGGAAAGGATGGTCAGCCATAATACCTCAATAAAAGGGCTTGCAAGAGTTATCCTTCACCTTTCCTTGTGAAATTTAGCTCCTTAAGCTTCCCAAACTCTCAAATTGCAAGTTAATCGATTTAGTTTTCTTGTTTTCTCACTCAATCAAGCAAAACCCAAGATGGATTGAAACTCTCTTTCTCTTGTTTTTCCCTCTCTCTCTCACAACTGATAGGGTGGAAATGGAGAGCATTTTGAGTAGTTTTTGGTGATAAATATGGAGGAAATTAGTTGGTCAACAATTCATGAATGACCGCCACTTGTCGCGAGGTGATTAACTCTCAAATTTTTTTTCTTTTCTTTTGTTTTTTTGGTCAACATTTTTGGCCAACCTTAGCTGAGTATGGGGGGGGGATATTTTGCACTAATATCAATGATAGTTTATGGTAGGAAAGTGGTGGTCAAGTGGTGTGTTCAATCAGTAGTGAACGATACCCGTCGGTTCGAGCCGATTTTCTTTAAATTGTGTATACTAGGGTTTTAACTCATAATTCACTAACTTATTATTATCAATTCCAATCACACACTTAATATCATCTAAAACTCACCCTAAATCACTAAATTTGATACACACTCCGTACCGAATAATCACACTACGAAAAGGCGTAAAAACCCTAATTGACGATAACTTGAAAACGAAAGGAAAAATCCTTGATTCTATGTTTGTTTGCACTTATTGTGGGGTGAATGAGTTGTAAGGCTATTATAAAGTAATAAATTTCAAATAAAAGGAAATTTTAAGAAAAATATAAGGGATTTTATATGTCCTCACACTCTCTCCTCCTTAAGAAATTTCGTCCTCGAAATTTTCTTACCACCAGGAGCTATCCAAATCTTAGTTAAATGGTGAATAAAGGGAATCATACCTTCTACGTCCTCAAGCAAGTCAGGGACCCGATGTTGCTCTAGGGAATACACCGGAGCCGGTACTTTTGATCTAGTCATTTCCCCTTTCGACTGTCCAAGGTTAGTCTTGGTTGGTTGCTGGGTCCCTTTCTCTTCTCGCAATCGATCTGGGCAGTTAGCAATCAGATAATCGGCACTTCCACAGTGCATGCATTTTCCCTCTTTCTTTCAGCAATTATTCTCTGTGTGATTTGGCCCCCCGCAAAATTCGCAGGGACCACGGAATGCAGAAGACGAGCCTCCCTATGAGGCACCACTTGGTTCTCGCCCAACTTGTCCACCTCTGGCCTGGGTTCCCCTTGACTTCCTGGAAAGTCTTACTCCTCCAGTGCCCCTTCCAGACTTGGGAGGAGTACTTTCATTCTCTTGTCTCGAACTACTTCGAGGCCATCCCCATTTCTTCTCTTGGAAGGTTCTAACTTGAAGTCTCGCATTTTCAACTCGTAGGGCTTTCTCTACGGCATCACTAAATGTATTGATCTGGACTACGGCTAAATCCTTTTGAATCTCAACATTCAACCCTTGAATAAATCGCCGTATCCTCCTTTGCTCAGTCACAATAAGTTCTGGAGCGAACTTAGACAACCTAGTAAAGTGGCTCTCGTATTCTGCCACGGTTTGAGCTCCCTGACGAAGTTTAATAAACTCATCCTCCTTTTGCTCTTGAACTAGAGGAGGAAAATACTTGGCATTGAACTCTCTCATGAAATTGACCCAAGTCCTTGGTGTTTGCTCTCTCTCCCACTTCATTCTGATCACATTCCATCAAGAACGGGCTGCTCCCTCTAACTGGAAGATAACAAATGTTACTTGTCTCTCTTCGCTATAATGCAGGGTAGCGAAAATGTCAATCATTTTCTCCAATAACTTCTCGGTCACATCTGGGTCTGGTCCTCTAATAAATTATGGTTGAGAGAACTTTTGAAATCGTTCGAGGGGCTTATCCTCACCCTCTATATGGTTTCCAAGGTTTTCAGGTTGGGAAATAGGATTTTGGCCCTAGCGTTCCACTACATGAGCCAACAGATCAGCCAAACGCTGGATAGCGGCAGCTACCTGAGCATTAGGATCCATTCCAGATTCAGGGTTTGGTTCCGGCATTTGTACATAAGTACGCTTTTTAGTCAACGGTTGCCTAGAGTTGCGCCCAAGGCCTCGTCCACTACGAGTGCCCTCCATTTGGTTTAATCAGCCTAGGGTCGAAACGCGAATACAATATTAAAAAAATGTGTACAGATACTGATGCGGATACGAGTGCGCAACAACTTCAACCTTGGGTCAAGGACCCTTTGATCAACATTGGTGGTCCGATGACAAGATCAAGAACCAAGAAGGTGAAGGAAGCTTTACAAGCCTTGATCATTCACCATACAAGCAAGGAACAAGCTAAGTTTGAAGATTTAATGGACCATGAAGTTACTTTATTCACTTGTATGTTTGAAGTGAAGGAATGATCTCATACTTGTTAGCTTAGTTGGTAGTTGTTTTAAGACTGTCTAGTTTAGTAGTTGTTAGGCGTTGAGTATTTTATTACTTATTGGATCTTATCGGAAAGCCTTAAAGAGCTGACTCTTTAAGCTCTTTATGCGGACCGAATTTCTTCCAAGTTTATGTGGGCCGGATTTTGCCCTAGTTTTAGCCTATAAAAAGGCACCTCTTGTATGAGTAAAGACACAGAATATTACAACCAGAAATCGTGAGGAATTTTCCTTCAAGTTCTTAATCGAACTTACTCTTGAATTCTTGAGTTCATTGCTTAGGATTCAAATCTGACTTTATCGATTAGTTTGTTCCCTAATCGTGGTGTCTCTTCATCCATCTTTATTTGCTTAAGGTTGTTGATCACCTTCGTGTGTCAAAGGTCTTGAGTTCATGAGAACAATCGAGTTCAATTTCCATTGGGAGAAAATGTCCAGCTCTGATATTACAAGGTTGGGAGGTTCTAGGAGGGTTTTCCCCTAGGGTTGCCTTATCAGTTGGTAATCAGAGCATCAGGTTAATTCTCTTTCAATTGAAGTTGTTCATATCTTGTTAGTTTGTGTCTTTTGTCAAAAAAACTGTAGCGATTACTGTTCATCGTTATTGTTCCGAATTACTGTTCATCGTAATGTAGCGTACTGTTCACGTTACTGTTCATCCGAGTAAAAAAAAAAAACTGTTTGGGTGTTGTCCTTTTCTGTTTTTTGTCCAAATTTCGTTCTTGAGTTTGTTATACTTGTGTTTGGGTTGTTAGGGTTTAAAGACAAAAAAAAAAAAGTCACGTACCTTATATTGTTTAGTGTTCAAACTGCTAGAGTATTGCTGGAATTTTCTTTTGAGTATTGCTGAAATTCTGTTTTGCTTATTTCTTGAGTATTGGTTGTTGTTCTTGTAAACCCTAGACACCGCAACATAATTTGGGAAAATTCTTGAGTTTCTTGAACAAATTCTTGAAGTTCTTGGACCACCAAATCTTGTTTTGAAAATTCTTGAACAATAAACCAAGAACTAGGGTTTTCTTGGAATTGGCATAACCTTTCATCCGTTTTCTTGAACTTGTTGGTGTGATCTGACTTTGTGTTCCTTGAAGAGCCAAAACAAAAAAAAAGGAACAAAAAAAAAGAAAGAAAAGAAGGAATCGGCTCTCATACAAAGGAAATCAAGTTTCCAAAAAAATCGTGAGTTTCCAATTCTTGGTGGGTTCCCAAATCTTGATTAGTCTCCAAATCTTGGTTGATTTCCCAAAACTTAAGTTTCCTAAACTTGATTGGTTTCCAACTCTTAAGTTCCAATCTTGATTGAATTCCAAAGACCCCAAACGACCTAACTAGCCCTGATTGAATTCCAAAGACCCCAAACAACCTAACTAGCCCCAAACACACCCAATTCCGTTTTCAAAACCAAACCAAACACCTTAGCCCAAACCGCCTTGGGAGTTCTTGAGTTTCTAAAATCGATTGAGCTAGTTTTGCGATCCGATTTGACTGAAATTTGAGGATTGGTTAGTACATTATTTGAGCACCCCAAAAGCACCATTTATACTCCAAAATACTGACCAGAAACTCAGCAAAACAACAGCTTAAAAAAAAAAGTTTCAGCTTCAGGTAGAGTTTTTATTTTCTAGGATTCGCAAAAATTCTGTTTTGTGTCTTATTACTTATAAGGTAATTAATTCTGGAATTTTTGAGAGTTGAGTTGTTTTAAGAACTTCAAGAAGAAAAATTGAGTGTGAGTGTATTTCCTTGAGTGATACACGAGTGCTTTGCAAGGTAGACTAGGATACACTTATTTTTGCAGGTTTGACAATATGTCTCAAGAGGGGAACATACCCGAGCCGTCTGAGACCGACTTACCACTCAAATTGGTGCTCCAAACTCTTCAAAAAAAAGCGGAGAGACAAGAATTTGTGATGACACAATTATCCGATAGCTTGGCTGCCCTTGAGATGCGAGGTACCGGAGATACACACAATCGGGTTTCGAGTGCTCAGAGTGCTGACCATGATGCGGATGATGAGGGATATCATTCTAACAGCTCATACCGATCAAGGAAAAGCCACAGGAAAGCGAGGGAAGGCCAAGACCGACCTAGGAGAATCGATGACAATCTTGGTTCCATCAAAACTAAGATGCCTACCTTTCATGGAAAAAATGATCCTGAAGCTTATTTAGATTGGGTTAGGAGAGTTGAGCAAGTGTTTGAAGTCCATAATTACTCTAAAGAGAAAAAGGTGAAACTTGCGGCTATTGAATTTGAAAATTATGCATCCATTTGGTGGGAGCAAGTATGTGCCACAAGGAGGAGAAATAGGGAACAACCAATTGACACTTGGGCTGAAATGAAGCAAGTGATGAGGAAACGATTTGTACCCTTCCATTACACCACAGACTTGTACAATCGGCTCCAACGACTCACCCAAGGGTCCAGTTCGGTTGATGAGTACCACAAACAAATGGAGGTAGCAATGATAAGGGCCAATGTACAAGAGGATCCGGAAGCAACCATGGCAAGATTTCTTAATGGATTAAATCCTGAAATTAGGAAGAAGGTTGAGCTTCATGACCACTTTGAGCTACAACAAATGGTGTCTTATGCAGAGAAGGTGGAAAAGCAAGCCTTACCTATAAGGACACCTAGTGGCCGAACCACTACATCCTCTTCCACACCTTGGAGAAGAGATCAATTGCAAACATCCAATGCTTGGCCGAGGCAAGGCAATAAAGAAAGGGAAAACAGGCGAATGGAGCAACCGTTCCATCCGAGTGCAACTCCTTCTAAACCAACCCCGCGGCCGACTCTTCCAAGGGCAAATACGTCTACCAACCAGCCAAAGGCATGTTTCAAATGTAAGGGAATTGGCCACCTCATGACTCAATGCCCTAACCGAAGCATCATTTACATGAATGAAGAAAGAATGTGGCAAAGCGAAGGAGAGGAGGAATATGCGGACATGCCACCGCTTGAAGAAGAGGGGAAGGATGATGACCTGGTTGAAATAGAAGAGGACCTCATAGCTCGAACTATGGTGACTATGAGAGTGCTAAATGCACAACCTCAAGAAGATGATCTCCAACGGACCAACATTTTTCATACGAGATGCAAAATTGGAGATGAGGTATGTCTCATGATCATTGATAGTGGCTCTTGTACTAATTGCGTAACTGCTGATTTTGTTGAGCAAAAACACCTTCCGTGGACTTACCACCCTAAATCCTATAGACTATCTTGGTTAAATGATGGGGGGAAGTCAAGGTGACCAAACAAGCTTTAATCGCTTTTTCTATTGGTTGATACAAGGACCAAGTTTTATGTGATGTAATTCCTATGCAAGCTAGTCATGTCTTGTTAGGGCGTCCTTGGGAGTATGATCGGCAGGCTGATCATATTGGACTCACTAATAAGTATAAGTTCATTATGGACAACCTCAAGATCACTCTTTCAACCTTGACACCTACACAAGTGTATGAAGAACAATTGCATCTAAGAAAAGAGCGAGAGAAAAGGCAACTGAGAGAGGCAAAGAAAAAGCCGAATGTGCCTAAGGATGAGGAAAAAAAGAAAGTAGAGGCCGAGTTGAGTGAAAGAGAAAATTCGAGTGGGAAAAGACTCAGTGAGGCCGAGAGCTTGAAAGCGAAGAAAATGAGCTTTTATGCAAGTGTGCGTGAGATATATAGGGTCTTGAATGCACAAAGTCTTCTCATAGTACTTATGTACCGGGAAGCCGATTATTCTTCTTTTTATACACTTGGCATAACCAATTCTCTTCCTAGTGCAATTTACTCTCTTTTGCAGGAATTCAAGGATGTGTTTCCGGAGAAACTACCGAAAGGATTACCTCCAATTCGAGGTATTGAACATCATATCGACTTTGTTTCTGGAGCAATTCTACCAAATCGACCAGTCTATAGAGCAAATCCGGAGGAAACAAAGGAAATCCAAAGGCAAGTCGCTTCCCTCCTTGAAAAGGACCAGGTTCATGAATCTCTTAGTCCTTGTGCGGTTCCAGTCATTTTAGTACCTAAGAAAGAAGGGACTTGGAGAATGTGTACAGATTGTCGTGCAATTAATAAAATTACTGTTAAGTATCGTCATCCCATTCCTAGGTTAGACGATATGTTAGAAGAATTGCATGGAGCAATCATTTTCACTAAAATTGATTTAAGATCTGGTTATCATCAAATAAGGATAAAGGAAGGTGACGAATGGAAAACTGCTTTCAAAACAAAGTATGGTCTTTATGAGTGGCTTGTGATGCCTTTCGCCTTAACAAACGCTCCAAGTACTTTCATGAGGTTAATAAATCATGTTTTAAGGCATTTTCTTAGGAAGTTTGTTGTTGTTTATTTTGATGATATATTCATCTTTAGCAAGTCTTTAGATGAACATGTTGAGCATTTGCGACTTGTTTTAAGTGCCTTGCGTGAAGATAGGTTGTTTGCTAACATGAAAAAATGTGTCTTTTGCACTCCTGAAGTTAATTTCCTTGGATATATTGTTGGTGCAAATGGCATAAGTGTTGATCCCGCCAAGGTAAAAGCCATCTTAGAGTGGCCGACTCCAACCAATGTGTCTCAGGTAAGGTCTTTTCATGGTCTTGCAAGTTTCTATAGGAGATTTGTTAAAGACTTTAGCACTATTGCAACACCTTTGAATGAGGTAATTAAAAAGAATATGGGGTTTCAATGGGGAAAAGAGCAAGAAGAGTCATTTCTTAAGCTTAAGAAGTTGTTAACTTCGGCACCTATTCTTGCTTTGCCTAATTTTGACTTGACGTTTGAAGTTGAATGTGATGCTAGTGGAATCGGCATAGGGGCTATCTTACATCAAAATAATAGGCCTTTGGCTTATTTTAGTGAAAAGTTGAGTGGGGGAGCTCTTAATTACCCTACTTATGATAAAGAATTGTACGCTGTTGTGCGTGCTCTTGAAGTGTGGTAGCATTATCTTATGCCTAAGGAGTTTGTGATACATACAGATCATGAATCAATTAAATTCCTTAAGGGTCAGGGTAAGTTGCATAAAAGACATGCGAAGTGGATTGCATTTATTGATTCCTTTCCGTACATCATTAAGTATAAGAAGGGGAAAGATAATGTCGTTGCGGATGCATTGTCTAGGAGGTATACTTTGATCACTAACATGAGCACTAAGCTACTTGGTTTTGAGCACATTAAAAACATGTATGCACATGATGACGATTTTTCTAATGTGTTTCAAGTTTGTGAACATGCTGCATTTCAAAAGTACTATAGGCATGAAGGTTTCTTGTTCAAAGAAAATCGAATCGCCTATGTATTCCCAATTGTTCGCTTAGGGAATTACTTGTTAGAGAAGCCCATGGGGGAGGATTGATGGGACATTTCGGCATTGATAAAACTCTTGACATCTTGCATGAACACTTCTATTGGCCTAAAATGAGGCGTGACGTTGCTAACATTTGTGATAAGTGTTTAAAGTGTAAGCAGGCCAAGTCAAGGAGTAACCCTCATGGATTATACACTCCTCTACCCGTACCTCATGCTCCTTGGACAGACTTATCCATGGATTTTGTGCTTGGTTTACCAAGATCTTCTAGAGGTATGGATAGTATCTTTGTTGTAGTTGATAGATTTTCTAAAATGGCTCACTTTATCCCTTGTAGGAAGACAAGTGATGCACGCCATGTTGCTGATTTATTCTTCAAGGACGTGGTTAGATTGCATGGGGTACCGCGTACTATTATAAGTGATAGGGATGTGAAATTCTTAAGCTACTTCTGGAAATCACTTTGGGGAGAGTTGGGAACGAAGTTGCTATTTTCTACTTCTAGTCATCCTCAAACGGATGGTCAAACCGAGGTAACCAATCGAACCCTTGGTGCTTTACTTCGAGCCATTGTTCAAAAGAACTTGAAGAAGTGGGAAGAATGTTTGTCTATCGCTGAGTTTGCATAAAACCGAACCACTCATTCTACTACTAATCATTCTCCTTTTGAAATTGTTTATGGGTTTCAGCTGCTAACTCCTCTAGATTTATCACCTATTCCTGTTGATAAGTGTTTAAGCGCAGATGGTGTCAAAAAAGTAGAGGCTGTTCGGACCTTGCATGAGAGAATTCGAGCTCAAATTGAGAAGAAAAATGCACAATATGCATAACATGCGAATAAGGGAAGAAAGCATGTTATATTCGAACCTGGTGATTGGGTTTGGGTGCACATGAGGAAGGAAAGGTTTCCAGCATCTCGACGGACCAAGTTACATCCAAGAGGTGACGGACCTTTTCAAGTCCTAGAGAGGATCAACAACAATGCATACAAATTGGAACTTCCAAGTGCGTATGGCATAAGCGCATCTTTTAATGTGTCTGACCTATCCCCTTTTGACTTTGATACAAACTTTGAAGATTTGAGGACGAATTCTTTCGAGGAGGGAGGGAATGATGCGGATACGAGTGCGCAACAACTTCAACCTTGGGTCAAGGACCCTTTGATCAACATTGGTGGTCCGATGACAAGATCAAGAACCAAGAAGATAAAGGAAGCTTTACGAGCCTTGATCATTCACCATACAAGCAAGGAACAAGCTAAGTTTGAAGATTTGATGGACCATGAAGTTACTTTGTTCACTTGTACGTTTGAAGTGAAGGAATGATCTCATACTTGTTAGCTTAGTTGGTAGTTGTTTTAAGACTGTCTAGTTTAGTAGTTGTTAGGCGTTGAATATTTTATTACTTATTGGGCCTTATCAGAAAGCTTTAAAGAGCTGACTCTTTAAGCTCTTTATGCGGACCGAATTTCTTCCAAATTTATGTGGGCCGGATTTTGCCCTAGTTTTAGCCTATAAAAAGGCAACTCTTGTATGAGTAAAGACACAGAATATTACAACCAGAAATCGTGAGGAATTTTCCTTCAAGTTCTTAATCGAACTTACTCTTGAATTCTTGAGTTCATTGCTTAGGATTCAAATCTGACTTTATCGATTAGTTTGTTCCCTAATCGGGGTGTCTCTTCATCCATCTTTATTTGCTTAAGGTTGTTGATTACCTTCGTGTGTCAAAGGTGTAGACACCAAATTTTGGGTAATTTTATGTGGCATCTATTTCATGATTTTCATTTTAGATTGCTTGCATTCGTTGTTTACTTTTAGTTTTAATTTTTAGTTTTAGCTTTTAAGTTTAAAATTAGCGTAGAGTTTTTAGAAAAAAAAAGAAGAAAAGGAAAACATCAAAAATATGTTGTAGTCATTTTGTTTTTATTCAATGCTTTCTTGAAAAGAAAAATTCAAAAAAAGAGGAAAGGAAAGAAAAATCATTAAAAAAAAAGAAAAGGGAAATTTGTTCACAAAAATATTTTTTATTTCTTTAAATTCAACCCTTTTGCATTTTAGTTATTTTTATTAAGTTATTTTGAGGAAAAGAAAATGATGGAAAAATGAAAAATTGGAAATTTTTAAAATAGCCATTTTTGTTTAGTTTCTTTTGTTTAAAATTATTTTTGTTTTGTTATTATTATTATTACCTGGTTTGTGTAATTTTGTTATTATTGTTATTGTTATTTTATTATTCATATTTTCTGTAATCTTCAAGTTGTTTTCAAAAAAAAAAAAAAAAAAAAAAAAAAAGAGAATGATCGCAGCCTGCAAGCTGCATTTTTGGCAGCTTGCAAAGGGCTAGTTTCGTGCGTGCCACTGAAGGGCAGGATGAAGGCAGAGGCTGGCCTTCATCCTGACCATTCAGTGGAGGGTTTAAGGATCTTTGGGTTCCATATAAAAGGGGACAAGAAGCAGCAGCCGGAAGGGGAGGTTTTTTGAGAGGAGAAATAACGGCTGAAAGCTAGAAAGAGAGAGGGGGATGGAGAGAAACAAGGACGGCTGAGCTTGGGAAGCAAAAACCGAGAGAGCCACAAACGAGGAGAGATAGAAACACAGCAAGGGAAAAGAAAGAGAGGCATCGGGGATAAGGAAAAATCAAGAGAGTCTGGGGAAGTGAGTGTAGCAGCTGCACATCTGAAAAGGAGGGGGACGGACGGGAGAAGAAAGAGTGAGAGATAGCCGAGAGAGAAAGGAGAATAGAAAAGGAAAAATCTGAAAAGAGAGGGAGCCTGTTGGCGGCTGAATGAAAGGAAGGCTGAGGGAGAGTGAAAGAGAGAGAGCCGAGTGAGGAAGAAACGAGAAGAGTGAAAAGAAATCTTGGGAAAGAAACGAAGGAAAACAAAATTTTCTGCAGAGACTCTTAGAAAAGGCTGGATTTTCGTTACCTTGCGATGCGATTTTTTCCATCGGAGAGGTCTCTTCTGGAATACCTTAATTGATCTGGATAATCTCCGGTGTTTGGGGAAGAATCTTTGCATACAAAGCTCTTGGGAAAAACCGCTGGAACGCCTTTGAATCGAAGCCAAAACCTGTTGGAGTCGCAGCTCTTGTGTCGTCGGCGCCGAACGTATCTGCTTGTAGCTGCGGTGTTTGAGCTCCTATTCCCTCAAGCTTACAGCACCATCTCAACTTCCCAAAGCTTTTAAGGTGATGTAGTTTCACTTTGCTCTTGCCATTCAAGTTCAAATCTTGACCAAACTCATCCGAATCTAGCCTGCATATACCTTTTTCTTTGCTGCACTTTTCCTGCTTACCTTGTACGATGGCTTTTAAGGTTTTATGGCGCGAAGTTAATAACCAAGATTGAATCTTGATGTTTGGGGGCTCCATAATCTTCATGTTTTGGTTTAAAACTTGAGGTTTTGCTTGGAGTTTTGTTACCTGGGATGGAGGTGTGAATTCCCTAGCAGCGAAATTGCAGAAATTTTGTTTCTGGTTTGGCACGTTCTTTTCCCTGAATTTTGTGTTTCAGTTTTAAGAATTTCATGTTGAAGCTGGGAAGAAGGTTTGAGGAGCCCTCTTACATGATCTTAGAATACTTTCGCACTTGAAGTTGCTCATAAAATCTGCTACGATTAGTTTAAAGACTTCAGTTTGTCACAGCAGCATGATCATCTATGCATTGATGCATTCTTTGCTGTTTTTCTTTTGTTTCCTCACTGCTAAGGTTAATGTTTGGGGCATGTGCATGCCTTTGGTAGATGAATGGGGAGTCCAATGCAGTGTTTCTGCCTTAAATCTACATGAACTCAAAGCTGCAGAAAATTCCGCAGCAAAGAACAAAAGGAATAGCATTTTCTGTTCTGTTTTCTCTTCCGTAGCTGCTCATCGAATGTCTACACTTGAGCTGCATGCGTAATCTGGTGTGGAGGGCAGGGAATGGAGTGATTTACTGTCGGGTTTGCATGTTTGGGGGGCTAAAGAAGGAAAATTGAGCTAGTTATAATTAAATGCTTTGCTGAGTAATAGCATGTTAGGACTGCCGAACCCCTTTGCATAGATTTTTTCCAGCTTTGGCATGAATTTTCTTCTACGGTTGTGCTGGTTTGGATGTCCAAGTTGTGTGTTGTGTTGTTTAATCCAAAGCTTGGTCATTGGTTTGAGAGGTTTTGTGCAAAGCTTGAGTTAGTTTTCTGAAATTTGTGTGCGAAAAATGAAAATGCAGCAGGCCTATACTTTCATTTGCTGGAGCTCTAGTCTGATTGAAAGTTGTGTTTTAGCTGATATGTCATATGCACTTTCACACTAAGTGTCCTACTCTAATTCACACTAAGTGTCCTACTCTGACCACGTATCCTTGCTGCATTTTCTGGATGATTGCACCTAGGAATCTGCGGAAGAAAGTAAATGGCTTATGAACATAGGTAGATGTTTCTTCTGCTACCGCAGCATATGCTTCCCTCTTAGTCAGTCATTTGATCTCTAATGTTTCGTTGCTTTATTGGGTTTGGGGTAATCAAAATGTCTAGTTGCTAAGGAGTGCTGAGGTTTGATTTTAACTGTTTCTTTTGGTTGCTTGAACTGAAGTATGGAGCTTGCGAGAGTTTCATTGACTGCCGAGAGTTTTATGTGTAGCAGAAGCTTGTTCCCTTTGTATTTGCATGAAAGCTTTGCATGAAGTTCTTATAACTATCGAAGCCATGTTTAAATGGAGAAATTTCAAGCCAAGTTAAAGAATGTCAAGCCAGGTTTAATTGGAGAAATTTCAAAGTTGTGGTATGAATTTGCTTCGCTGAAATTGTTGAGCTTTGAGCCTAAAGATTGTGTAGCAGAATTTTGCTGAGAGCTTCGTTAGTTTGTGAAGCTTCGTTGTGCAGAATGTTTCCTACGTAGCTTGCATGAATTGCATGAAACAACTCCAGAAAATTGCACTTTTGACCCCCAAGTCCCCTCTTGACTCACTATGGCCCAGTCAATTGAATGATTTCCTCAATTTGGTCCTTGGTCACTTTTAATCTTACAATTTCATTGCTTATTTGTTTCAATTGACTACCATGCTTTGTTTCAATTGCATTTAATTCCTGACTTTGGGGTTTTTATGACTAAGTGAGCTTTGTTTTGCACATTTCTTTTATTTTCTTCCTTAAATAAAGTGGTGCATTGACCTTTTTATTATTTTGGAGGGTAATTGAATAATTTCACTTCATTGGGCCCCGATTGCAAGGGAGGTACACTCTATCCCTCACTTGCACTTTATTTTTCCTACGTGCTCCTATGTGTTATGTGAATATGCCTGTCTACTTCGCTTTCCTTACCTCTTTGCACGCATTTACTTACTTTCTTTTATTTAAGTTTTATGGGGTATGTGTACACCTCTTGGCTTGTAATAGATAGGGCTCGGAGAGCATCTGGTCCATTTTCCCTTCCCCTTTATGCTTTTATGGGGTATGCGTACACCTCTTGGCTTGTAATAGATAGTGCTCGGAGAGCATCTGGTCCATTTCCCCTTCCCCTTGGTTGCTTGTTTTTGTTGCTACATGTTTAATTGCTTTAGTAGGCTCTTGCATCTAGTCGAGCATGCTAAGTGCTATGTGCTATGTGTTTACGAGTGTTTTGGCATGTCTACTTGCTTTCATAGCCATGAATGAATGGAATGGATGAATGTGCGTCACCACACTAGTCCAACGCTAGTGGTGGCACATTATTTCATTAGGAATTCATAGAAAGGGCTAGTCCAACGCTAGACCCAATAAGGTTTTTCCTTTATTTTTCATTAATGCATTATTTGCCTGTTCACTACATGTCATGCATTTTTCTTAGTTTTATCATTTGGCATGCTCCTCGAG